ATGACAGGTGTTCATTACCACCATATCCAGTTCAGCCAGCTCGTAAACATACAGAACACCCAGCCCTGCAAACTCATCCCAGGACCTGACACTGAGGGTGGAGAACTTTTCTGTAACCTGCATGAACACAAGATTTTCGTGGCCTGCCCATGGTAGGTCTGTAGGTGGTGCCCGTCCCCAGGGCATTGGGGCCTGAGGCTAAACAGGCACACTTGCTTTCATCTTTGCTGCAGGGTGAGCAGGACAGAAGAGCTTCTATCAGTTCAGCTGCTTCTGAGAAGGGGCTGAGCAGATCCCAGAGCCTTCACACACAGGATGCAGGTCTGCTGAGTCAGAAAGCCCTGCTGGCAACAGCCGTGCAGGTTATGACCTGCACAGAAAAACATTCCCACCTGATTCATGATGTGTCTGAGAGGAATGTGGTGAAAACGGTCACTAAAAGCAGTGCCTGGTACCTCATTACCTGTCTGATAACACTTCATGTATCAGAGCCCCTTCCAAACCCCAGTGAAATCATGGGCAGCTTTGGAGCAATATTAGAAGATGGGAGCCAGAGTGATGGGGTCATTTCCAACGATTTGTTCAAAATCTGAAGTAAACCCCACAGAACTGAGGAATATCTGTATTCCTGAGGAATATCAGGAAGCACCAGCACTGCTGTTAATGCTGTGGCTTTTTTCCCCCTGGACTACACAATACAACCACACATATTTGAATTGCAGGCATTCAAATGCCTACAGAATAAGGCAGGAGCCTCACTAGAGCACAGCCCGACTCCTTGTACTCAAAAGTCTCCCCATGAAGGACAAAAGGCTTTTGTGTTCTTCAGCATCAGCCTTGAGAGGATTCAGCTGGCAGAGTAACCTAAATCATCTGAATCCCAAAGAACAGCAGCTGACCTTAATGCAAGTGTGCAGCTCGGGCTCCTGCCTGCCCTGGCCTCTCCCCCACTCCCTAATGGGGTTTTTCTTTCTACTCTTTTCAGGTCACTAGGAAACAAGGACCTGGTCTTTTCAAATCTTTCCTTCAAGCATTTCCCAGCAACATGGGATTGCAGCACAGCTCTGTGCCAACATGCACGACCCCCTTTTGAGAGGCACTGCTGAAGCATCTTAAGAGTCCCATTCTGCTTTGCCCCTCCAGCCCTGTGGAGTTATTTCAGCTTTTCTTCCAAATTGTGTTCCTTCCAGTGAGATGTGGCTCTAAGCACTGCATCAAGACACAGATTCCTGTATCTCTTCCTGGGGAAAACAAGGATATTTCCTTTATAACCCCTAACTTAATACAAAGCAGCACAGTGGGGAAAGAGTTCATATCTTCTGTAAAATGCTCCAAGATTGGAGCAGAACAAAATTAATGTGGGCTACCATGCTGCTTCCATAAGCTGAAAAGTATTCACAGGCACAGTCCTGAAATGTAATCTAAATTAATAAGTAACCGGAGTAGTGATGGCCTGAAGTAACCTGATGCCACTCTTATGAATGGCTCTGGCCATGCTTACTTGATTATGTCCCCACTTTTAACCCTTTTTTATCTCCTGATTTGCTGCCTTGTCCTTCTGTTTTGGCCATTTCCATGTCAAAGCAGAAAGGACTAAGGGCAGCCTGAGAGGAAATACTCCCAACTGCAGGATGAGTTGTCTAGGGTTGTAAGACAGGGTCAGACTCCCAAGTCTGACCAAGTGTCCATCAGCTGCCTCTCTGGGATCATCTACAGAAAGCATGAACACTTTCTACCAGCTCTTAAGGTGCTGACAGATGGGCTATGGCCAGCCTTGCTGAAGCATGTTAAGGGATATTGCTCCTTATCACCAGCTCCAAGCCCCAGTGGGAGCTTTTGTCTGCATCCCAGTTATTCGCAAAGTGAGCTGAGCCAATCTGAGGTTACACTGCCGATGGGGCTGGGGTTAAAGCTGGGCTATGAGCTCCTGGAGCTGTGGCACAGGCACATCTTCCCTTGCACTCATGCTGCTGCAAGGCATTACCCATCAGCAGTCAGGCAGCATTAGCTTAGGGTGGTTAAACTCCACACAGAGCCCTCCAGACCTTGTCCATCAGCCCCCAAAGAGCATGTGACAGCTTCCTGCAGTTGATCTTAGCTCTGTACTCCATGGACTTACAAAGACTGAATCTGATCCTGAGGCCTTTATCAGCACAAGTTGTTTGCTGAAGTCAGCCCAGACACTTCAGGTGAGAAAGGACTGCTCATGTGGAGTAAAGGATGGCAAGTAGGGCAGCAGAGATTTCTTCTGACTTTCTTTGTTGAAAGGTATTTTCCACAATTTATTCTTATTAGCATTAAAACTATAGACTAACTGAAACAAAGTGAAATGAGACCTGAGTAAGTGACCTGTTTCCCCCATTTTTGTAAAAGGCAAGATACACATCAAGTATTAAGCAACAACTGGAAGACCTCAGTGCCACTGTCTGCAGCTTCCAGTGGTGTTAAATTCAGATTTTCAGGCCTGGTAAACAAAGGAGGATTGCTGAATTACCCCAGTGCACGCTGCTGCTAATCTCCATGCACATATGCAGCAGGGCTGTGATTTCTCCAAACATTATACTGAACTGGCCTCCTGTGTACTCCAAGAATGAACAGGCAGGTGAGCGGGAAGCTTATGAGTTTCTGAGCTGTCCTGCATGTGCTGGGATGACCACTGTGCTTCCTCTTCTCAAGGTCTGCCACTGCACTGCCATTCCCCTACAGCAATGCCACGGCTTAGCAGATGAAGAAAGCCTACATTATGAGGTTTTGTGTACTGTATGTAAGAATGTGATGGGAAAAGAAGGTAAGGTTGGGCCTGCTTCAAGAAGAACATATATCAGCCTGAGGTTTGGGATTTTTTTGCTAATGCTAAAAGCACTTAAGAAGTGACTACCAGTACACAGGACAGCCTTCCTATGCCATTTAGGTAGCTGCATACTCCCACGAAAGTCAGTAAGAAGCCTGGCTGAATGCATCTTAAACACCATTTTGAACAGACATGGATGCTGAGCTCCCTCCTAGCCCCAAGCCAACTATGTATCCAGCAGACATGGGGTCCCCTTCTATAGGGAGGGAAAGGTCCTGTGACATTGCAATCTGCAGGTGGAACAGCTGGACCTTCCTGAGGCCTTTTTACAATGGACTCTGCAAGAAATGACTGTGGAAGGAACCTCTTCTCCTGATCCCACACTATCTCCAAACAAGGAGCGTGCTGTAAGGATGCAAGCAACAAAGTGTTACCAGTTACAAAACGTCCATTCCCTACCGCTTCTCGGAGACACAGCTTCTTCAGCTCTTCCAAGCGCTGGCGCAGTGTCTCTTCCAAAGCTTCTTGCCTGGATTTCAGTGCAGCCAGCATGTCTTTCTTGGCAGACTGAGAACTATCTGACTCTTGGGAACCTGTCAATAAACAATGATTTCACTAGGCCAGCTGTCAGCAGAAAACACATCTGGAGTACTTGTAATTTTACCCAGCCCTGGACACAGTCCTTCCAAAAAGAAATCCAACTACGACATGAAGCAGGTGTTACCCAGTCATGTTTGTTTACAGCAAATTCTTAATGTTTAAGCTAACAGAGATTTGACAGTAGGGCATTTGTAATCATCATCCAGAAAAATAAAAGCAACAAAATAATTCATGTAAAGATCCTGGGGAAAAAACCAAAAAAACACATGCAGTTCCCATGGAAGTTCCCAATGGCAAATAACAGTTCAGTTTATAAAGCCCTGGAGATGCATTTTTGGGAAATTAAGCCTAGGAGAAACCATGTGACATTACAGACTTTCTTAAGAACTGCAATTATCTAGTAGCAAACATTTTTCAATCCACTTTGAGAGCCTGTTTTATGAAAAAAAAATGTAATGGAACAAAAATACCTAGCAAGATTCCTGTAAAATACACCAAAACAACAATAACTCATAGGTCTCTGTGGGACAGTAGCTGCTCCTTGTGATGATGCAGGTCAATATATTTAAATTGATGTCTAAATGGCTTGAATTTTCTAGTGGCAATTAACCAAAAACTTTCACTGAAGTAAGTCCATGCATAAGTCAGACTCTGTTGCTCAGATGTCATGACAGCTCTTGCAACGTCAGCTCTTTAGGGGAACTTCCTGGTGGAGTTCTTGATTTTATTTTGCTTTGGGATGGTGCATCAATTGCTTCCCAAGATCTAGCACCTCAAAGAAGGGTCAATGTTGGTTGCTTCCATTTTTGGGTACCTAACTTCAGTGGCTAATTTTTTAGGATGTGCTTAGTATTCACTCTTCTTAATGCACCACTAGGCTGAGGGATGAGTTCCTAGTGAAGTCTCTACTTTGTTCTGATCCCCTTGTCTGCAAAAGCTGAGTGTGTCCTTTCATCACCAAGTAAGGACAGGAAGATGTTTGCTGTACTAGGAGCTGAAAAGCAAGCTCAAGAGGGGGTAAATGTCATCTCCACATGCTTTTCACTCATATTACTGGCTTGTTGTTCAGCTACAGCTGTAGTTCAAAGGATCCACCTTAGGTTTATGGAAGGCTGAGTTCTCGTATCTGTGGTGGATTCAGTAGAAGCATCCCACATCTGTCCACACTGACAGCTACAGCTGCACACATTCTAAAGCTCTGCCCCACACACAGCTCTGGAGCTCAGCCGAACTCTGCATCTGCTCCCTTTTTAATAAACTCCACAGTGGGTCTTGAGCTGGGCTAAATGAACGGGGCTGCTGTGGCAGAATTTTCTAGGTGATCTAAGGTATCTGAGATGTCTTCCATGAGGTGCCAGAAATATAATACTGTGAGACCTTGTGAGACTCACACTCTTCTGGACTGGCAGTGGGATACTCTAACCCATCTAAGATGTCACCAGACACAATCCACCAGCTGGATTGTGCCCAGTGATTTGTAAGGACTTCTTGTGGGCCATTTAGTCCACTGTAGATTTATCCCTGCAGAGAAGCCTTTGACTCAGCAATGCTTTAAGGGGGCTCCTCCTACTCCACAGGAGTTCCTCAGTGCTCTCAACACCCACTGTTCCAGGGTGACTCTGGGGGACTTCCCCACCTCTCTAGAGCAATAGTACAGAGAAAGCAGACCTTTATTATGTGCCGGAATCAAGACAGAACAGGATGCTACAGAGGGTTTCCTGTGTACCTGTAGGATGGGGGCAAGCAGGGGCTTCTAGATACTTTTGCAGCTTGGCCTCCAAGCCTACAGCGAAGACACTCATCCCAAGGAGGATGAAAATGTTGCTGCCATTTCAGAGAGCTCTGGAAGGAACCTGGGAACAACTATTTTGGCAGCAAAGCAGAGTGAAATTTGTGCTTTCAGCTTCATCTTTTATTGTTACTATTCCAGCAGACTGTTTAAAGAGGATTGAGGCAAACCATGCCATGATACAGTTTTGCATTGGCCCAGGGAGAGCAGAGAATCTCACAGATCTTCTCCAGCAATATTTTATGCAGTTTTCATACAGGAAGACAGCTGGAACTTATTCTGTGAAATGCCACTCTGCTTTGTTACACCTTTTATTGAGCTGTTCTGGAGCAGGGGAGGTGGAAAAAGCATCATCAACGGAGGACAACCTCATGGTAAGACATTTGTTTGGTTGCTGTAGTCATCCTGATTTCATTTGGATTTGCTCTCATAGAGCAACAAAATTCAATTCTGCAAACACATCTGTGCTGCAAGAACTTGATAGGATCTTCTAGAGGGGCCTCCCACTTGCACTGGCATGGAGACCCTTCCCTAGCATTTAGTAATTCTTACTAGAATCACAGAACTGTTTTGGCTGGAAAAGACCTTTCTGATCACCAAGTCCAAACGCTAGCCCAGCACTGCCAGGGCCACCACTAAACCATGTCCCTAAGCACCACATCTACATGGCTTTTAAATACCTTCAGGGATACCACTTCCCTGGGCAGCCTGTTCCAGTGCCTGACAACCCTGTTAGTGAAAGGAATTTTTTCTAATAACCAATCCAAACCTTCCTTGGTACAACTTGAGGCCATTTCCTCTTGTTCTATTACTTGTTACTTGGGAGAAGAGACTAACCCCCTCCTCACTACAACCTTGATCCCCCCTCTCTACAACCTCTTTTCAGGTAGCTGTAGAGAGCAAGAAGGTCTCCCCTCAGCCTGCTTTTATCCAGACTAAACCCCAGTTCCCTTGGCTGCTCCTCATAAGACTTGTGCTCTAGACTCTTCACCAGCTTCAGTAATCCTGGTGAGCAGTTAACAGCAAAGCTGAACTGCTGAATTTCTTCACTGAACTGCCAACAAATAGTTTAGTCCTGGTAGACAGAAAAGTTGCTCATGATTCCAGCAGATGTTTCAACCTTTTTTTTTTAGAACAATTTAACAACCTACATATTCCTTTCAACTGCTCTTCCCCTATCCTTCCTCTCTCTGCTCTCACCCTCCCCACTAGCCTCAGATTTATTTTTAAAAGCTGTTCATTTTTGCACTGTGGGTTGCCACAGCAGCTACATAGATGCTGAAACATTTAAAAGCACATGAACAGCCTAAATCCTGGCCAGATGCCTGTGCTGATTCGGGGTGTGTCGACAAGAAGGAAACAAACGGCTTCTGGCTGAGCTGGTACAGACCCAAATCAAGCCCAGACCACAGCATTTGCTCCAGCTGTGCTTCCCCTGAGTCAGAATCAGGCTGGTCTCATTCCTGATGCAGTCAGTGGCAGCATCCACCGAGGGCACGTTTTGACATCTTTTTCACCCCTCCCAGAAAGCAAAGGAACTGGAGGAGATCTGGAAGCGGGTGGACACGTTCTCAGTTAAGCAATGGGTTTATGGCTGAAGCCAAAGCCAGTCCTTGGCACTAACAAACCAGTTCAAATTCACCTTTTCCACGTGTGTCTTTCTATCACAAACACTTTTAGTGTAGTTAGAGTTCAAAGGCCAGGGGACAGAACATTCCACTCATGGCTTGTGATGCTGACTTTTTTTAGCTTGACCATACATGATGATCCCTTGGGCATAATGCAGGACTGACTGACTTCTTCAGACCTTCCTGCAGTTTCTTCTTCAGAAACTGTTCTGTTCTAGCTGGTTCTTTTTATTTAATTAAAAGCTGAACTATTTTGGGATGTATTATTAGATTTTTATGGGTTGGATTCTCTGCTTGTTCTCACAGGTGAAAAGCAAATGAAAACTTGATCAGTCAAGAGAAGCACACCGGTGTGAGATGCTTTTAAAGGAGCAGAGAACACTGCTTTGTAGTGCTGGGGCACCAACAGCTTCCATTAGAGGCTCTTTATTTATAAATAGGTATTAATCCAGCCTTAGGCAAGGCTGTGACCACAGACCTGCTTCTAAACCTAGTGGCAATTGACCCAGAAATGTCAGAACAAATCAAAAGACCATAAAAACCACCAAAAAATAATCAAAGATCAGTGCAAACCAAACCAATCAGGCAGATGCTACCTTAACTCAGCCCTATTAAATATGATGCTCACTGAGTCACAGCTGCCCAGTGCCTTGCAAAGGGGATCATGAACAGAGAAAAATCAGTCCTGAAAGATCAGTCCTGACATGAGACTCTTGCCTCAACAGAACAGGCTGACTGGGAGGCTTTCTCAGGTTATTTTATCTCCTACAATTAGGGCTAATTCATAAAGCAGTAAACAGGAGAAATGTTGCTGAAATACATAATTTCCCTGCACGACTTTTGAACCTTTCTATGAAAATCATTAGCCAGCCTCCTTCTCATTTGCTGTGCAAAGATCTACGAAACTCTGAATTCAACAGACACTTGTGTAAAACCATCTGATGTCCCAGAAAGAGAAAGGGTTGTGAAAACACACTGGGTAGCCAACACAGGGCATACTCTTTGTGACCATGAGGAACCTACTGAACTGAGGGTCTCTTTTTATAACTGATACTGCTGGTTTCATTTCAAAGCCAAGACAATTGTACAAGCCCTTTCCTCCTTAACATCAAGGATGGGACACAGCTTTTGGTGAACATCTACTTAATAACCTATTAGTGTGTGGATAAGCTAATCAGCTTCTTCACACTTGGCCTTTCTGAGTGTTTTCTTCATCCACTTACATTCAGGAGAATGTCAGCTGTGAAATGGGGGGACAACGTGGTTCTCCCTGCCTCATACCTGGAAACATTCCAGATCAGGTTGTACGAGGTCCTGAGCAACCTGATCTAGTTGAAGATGTCCCTGTTAATTGCAAGTGGGTTGGACTAGATGGCCTTTAAAGTAAATTCTATTGACTATTCTATGACTCTGTGGTTCCAGGGACTCACTTGTCCAGCAGGATTCATGGCTGAGCTTCTTTACTCGTGCAAATGGGCTGGTTTCTGATCTCACCAATGTTGGTGATGTCAAGGCCATCTTGGTGATATTATTGGGGACATGAAGTGAGCCACAACCCCAAAGGATCTGACCCAGGCAATGTGCTGTGACTGTGCAGATCAGCCAAGGCTCCTGGCTACCAGGTGTCTGGTCCAAGACCAGCTTTGTTTTAAAGTTTGTCAAAGAGATGAGACCAGAAATGTGAACCACTGTTTTGAAAAGAGCCCTACCAGTGACTCACTGTTCATTCCCATTTCCACCACCTATTGTAGCAGAATGGAGTCAGCTTGGAAAAGGGATAAATGAGAAGCATGAAAACAAGCAGGGAGGATAGATAGGATGCTGCTGAGTAGAGTGAGCCAAAGGTTGGTGCTAGCATCTGTGAGGGGAGAGGAAATCACTGAATCACAGAATGGTAGGGGTTGGAAGGGACTTCTAGAGATCATCTAGTCCAACCCCCCTGTTAGAGCAGGATCTCCTAGAGCAGATCACACAGGAACATGTCCAGGTGGGTTCTGAATGACTCCAGGGATGGAGGCTCCACAATCTCCCTGGGTGTTTTGTTCCAGTGCCCTGTTACCCTCAGAGTAAAAAAGTACTTGTATTTAGGGGAAACCTCCTGTGTACTAGTTTGTGACCATTACCCCTTGTTCTTCCACTTGACAACATCTGACCCCATCCTTCTGACACCCACTCTTTAGATATTTATGAACATTAATGAGATCCCCCTCAGCCTCCTTTTCTCTAAGCTAAACAGACCCAGCTCTCTCAGCCTTTCCAACCCCTAAGATTCTATGATTCTATGATAAGGCAGATGCTCCAGCCTCTTCATCACTTTAGTGACCCTGTGCTGGACTCTCTCCAGTATCCTTGTCCTTCTGGATGCAACAAGGTGGCTGAATAGTGAGGCAAGAGCTTCTAGGCATCTCTTCTCTCATTTTGTGAGTCTCCTGCTCCAGGAAAAACACATCTAAATATGGCAAACACTTCATGCTACATCCGGCTGCTGGCTCTAGCTCACTGGCATTTGGTCGAGATCCCCATGGAAGGCTGTCCCTGGAGCAGGGAGGGGAGGTCCCCCCACGCTTTGCTCCATGCCAGAGCCTGGGCTGACTCACCAGGATGTCAGTGCACAACAGCCAGCAGGCTCAGCCAGCCACTATCTCTTGTCTCTGCCAGACAAATAGGATTTCCTCCGTGGCGTGCGGGAGCCCAGCTGGGGTTGCTCCGCACAGGATGTGCTCAGATATCCTGTGGGCGACTCTTCTTCGTGCTCCCTGGCCATGCCAGAGGCCACGTGGGTGCTGTTTATCCACTCCAACACCCACTGGGGCGGTCCAGCTGGGAGAAGGCCCTGCAGGATGGAGCAGTGGGGGCCAGGGAACCAGCTGGCTGGGCTCTGTCATGGCATTTTCAAACGTAAACAGAGCCCTGCACAGGAAACCTCCAGCACTGCTGAAGGAACGGGGCTCAGGGGGCTGGAGGCTCCTCAAACATATGTCTGCAGAGCTAAAGCAAATGTGCTCCTCTGTGGTCTGTCCTCTGAGATGAAGAAGGCAGTCCAACAATAACCCAGCAATAGTGGGGCTCCTCAGTAGCTAGGAGCCCTGCAGAGCTCTTATGGCACAGACTGCTCCAAAGGAAAAATCCACCTTGGACCTAAATTGGTTTTGTTCCGATAATTATCTCTGCTGACTTTGATGACAGTTCATACCAGTTTGAAAGCAGAGCTTTTATTTGTGGACAAACCTTGCCCCAGATGCCCAGGGATGGCTCAGAGACTCTGAAGAGAAGATCCCTGATGTAAATCACAGCAGCTCACTGCTCTGAGGGGGGCCTTCAAAGCCAAAATTAGACAGAAGTGAAGGATCGTGCTTGTCAGGATGGACTAGGGAGCATCAGGCATCAAATTTACAACTCTGCAGTGGACATAGACTGCGGGAAGGGAGATCAAGGGCCTGGGAAACACAGAGAAGCTTAGGTTTTGCCCCTGAAATGCTGTGACCACGGGGAAGTCACTGTCCCAGTATAAGACTCTATCTCCCTTCCGCTGTGTCTTGAGACCGTAAGTGATGTGGTGCAGCAACTGCCTCGCACTGCATGGCAGGATCTTGGCCAGACAGTGTGAAATTTGGAAGCAACAACAAATACTTCCTTGTAGCCTTGCTGCAAACCCAAGGGAGATATGTTGGCTTCGGCGTGCTCCTTGTGGCACTGAAAGCCCCTTCAGTGAGGAGGAGTGAGATTCAGAGAGGAAATGGCTACAAGTTATTTCCAGGAAAAAAAAAAAAGACTGAGAACAGTAGGGAAGTCGGAGCAAACAGAGATTCAGTCCTGCCCTTGTGATTTTGAGTCATTTGGGGTATTTATAGCCTGGAAATCTACTGTGGCCACTTAATCATTTGCACTTATTCTCTCCAGCTCACAGGCTGCACCACGATAACCCATCATTGTTGTGACTGTGTGCCGATAATCTTCGGCACAATGGGAGGAAATGCAAAGCCTGGGATGGAGCCGGTGACAGTGCCCAGTGGGACAGGCAGTGAATGCCCCCTCCTGTCCCAGTGGGACAGGGCTGGGTCACCTCTGTCAGCCAGGCTCAAGGGAAGGGGCTCTTGGAGCAGAGAGGTCTGGGTGATTGCGTGGAAGGAGTCCAGGGTGTCCAGTTCCCTGGTATCTGTCCTCCTCTGCCAGATGTCTTTTCTCTGTATTTCCTTGTAGCTGCTGCAAGGAACACAGCAGTAGGAAACCCCACAGCTCGCCTTAACATTCTGGGGAGAGCCCTGTCCTCAGAGCTGGTAGGACCCAAAGGCAGTTCTGAAGACAGGAACCTGGAGGGAGCCATGCTTGCCTGGCCTAACACCTGGACCAAAACAGCGGCTCACACAGTCCTACATAGGCATCCAGGTAGACTGACCCACCTAGCCAGGCCTGAAGAAATGACTCACTTGGTCAATGAACTCTGCACAGGTCTACTCAGTAGTGTAATTTTGCCAAGTCTGCAAACCCTGTGCTCAGCCAGACAGGAATTGAGCGAGGAGAAAAAATTATAATACAGAAATAAAAGCATGAGCAGCTCACAGATCAGGACTTCTATCCCTGTAACCCTGGTAGGTGCTGGCCCTACAGAAGCTTTTCTGGGCCAGATTTTCTGCTGGCTTTCACCTGGCTACTGCTCTACCAGCGAGGCAGCAGAAGCAGACCCCTATGTGTTTTTCTTCCAGGAAGGTGAAAAGTCATGTCAATTAACATGAAAACAGGATTACTACCAAGCAGCTCTCACAAACTTGCGAATGGTGCCCAGGAGGCATCTTGGGAAGGCCCCAGGAACTTCCTTGGGGTACTTAACATTATTTACTTTCTAGCAGGAGAGCTGGAAAAAATGCCAAACAAACAAATTACTTCAACAACCCGACACCAGTCGCGGAGCTGCTCAGCTACTGCAACTCCCTGAGCGATGCGAGGCACAGATGGTGGATTGTTGGATTGTGAGCTGCACAGTCAGGAAGACCTAAGGAGCAGAAAAGCACCTCTGTTTGCAGTGGAGGTAAAGAATTGCACAGGAGGTTGCTCTGGAACTGTAAACTTTGTACGTCTTAACCCCTTCCTGGACATTTTCCAGGCAGGAGAGGGTGGCTTTTAAGACATGAAGGATACAGTGATGCCAAGCTGATCTACTACATCCGTGAGGGTTCAGTTTTAAAAGCATTTGTGTTCTTATATGGATTCTTCTCTTGCCAAACATCAGAATGTTATTCTGTGGTTTTACCCATCTCAAAACAATCAATTTTGGTAACTTGATGTGACGCTTAGCAGTGGGCATTTAATTGACTGGAACTGTTAATTACAGTGATACCAGCAACCTTGCCCTCCTGAAGAGCTTCTCACCTGAGCAGCTTCAAGCTGTTAGCAAACTATCAATCCTTGCTTTGCTTCTGGAGTGACACTTAGCACTGTTCTAGACACAGTTTGCGTAGTTCAGACTTACAAAAGAGTATCAAAGAAATGCAGACAACCTCCTGACTCCCCTTCTTTGGTCCTTTTCTTTTCATGCTCTTGCTCTCCTCTGTATCAACTTAAGTTTCTTTCACAAATTCTATCTTACTCATACAGGAAGGTGCTTCAAGCCACCAGAAGAAACCTCTGGGTCCCTGGCACAAGTTTGGTAAAGAGTGCTAGGGAATAGCTCTTTTGCATCTGAGACACCAGCCACATTCAAGGAACAAAGAGGCAAAGCATATATGCACTGGTTGAAGAAGCCACTCTGCCACAACACTGCAGAGGGACATCACCAGTTCCCAGCCTCTGTCTCCATGGTGAGCTACACTGGCTGACCACCTCTTCGCTGCTGGCTGGGGAACTCCTTCATCAACACGTCTGCCTAGGGATGAGCTGGGTGCTAAAGGGTGATTATGTTAGAAACTATGAAGTGAGACTAGGTCCCAGCTGAAAAGTGAGAGGCTGGAGATGACATCCTGGGGCCAAAGAGGAAACGAACAACAGTAACCAGAGAGGGGGAAGCTGCTGCCTGTGCTGTTTGTGGGACAATGTGCTGAGAGACAGACTGACACCTGGACAGACAGAAAGGCTAAAGGGAAGTGACTTTCATTGCTGCAGTGCACCTCTGGTTGCTCCCCATTATACCATGACCATGGCCCTTCCCACCATATTCTCTCCACTTACAGGATAAAGGACCTACCTGATGACAGAAGACTCCCGCTGCTGCCGCTGATAATTTTGCCTTTACTCCCCATGTTGGCCAGCTTTGAGGTCTTGAGTGTTCCAGTTTCAGTCAGGTCAATTGCAATCTCACTCAGGCTTCTTGCAGCATGAATCTTGGACTGGACAAGGACACAGGAGTTAGTCATGATCTGGTGCTTCTTGAAAGCTCACAGAAGGAAAGAGCCCTTTTGCTGTGGCAGGAAGCAGAGCTCCACAGCAAACTTGGATTATTTTACAATAGAAGCCATCTGGCACAGCATTCTCTGCTGCCCTTTTTACATTCTTAAGTGGGTACAATTCTGGCATTGCTTCCTGTTGTTTGTTATTTTCTCTGCTTTGCAATGGACATTTTTTCCTCTTAAACAAACTACGTAGGGAGTCTCTATGTTACCACATACAATAAGAAACCTTCAGAAATGCCATCTCTAGCACCTAAAGGAAGCCAGAACAGCCTTTTCAAATTTGCAAAGAGATTTTAACCAAGAAACAGTGAGGACATGGCTTAAATGGGCTGTCATGAGAAGCTGGAAGAAAACACTGGCAGGAAACCATGTTCAGGTTATGGTCCAGACTAACAAGCTCCTACTGTGAGAAACCTTTTCAAAGCATTAACATTACTCCAGTAAGAAACAACACCCAGCCCCAGATCAGTAACTGGCCTCACTAGGGCAAGGGGTCACCCATTGTACACCACAAAATGTCAACAACCTAGGCACCTGCAGGGAAAAGTAAAAACGCATACTTTGTAATCCCATAGAGGAATAGAATAGAATAGAATAGAATAGAATAGAATAGAATAGAATAGAAGTATTTCAGTCAGAAGGGACCTCCAATGATCATCTAGTCCTCCTTCTATCTTAGGAAGAAATGAGTTGACTTCCTAAAATGCCATCCCTTCTCCATTGGTTACGGAAAGATTTGAGTCAAGATGTCCAGAAAGTTCAGGTGAGAACTTTCCAGAACTTCATGTTTGTTGAAAGTGAGCTCAGATGTGGTTACACTCAGAGACCCAGCAGAGGCAGAAAATGTCCAGGGCAAGGGGGCCAGCAGCACCAAGCAATGAAATGAGCACAGTGCCTGTTTGAAGGGTTGGGCTCACTCAGAAACAACCCCACTGTCAGCAGCTTCCCATCTATCTCCAGTCCAGAGGATCAAGAACACTGATCAAAGTTGCTGGGGATGGCCCTTCAGCCCTAGCACTTCAGAATTAGCCCTAGCAATACTAAAAAAATCAACTCTACATAGGAGGGTTTCTTAGGTGGCCCCAAGAACTTTTCAGTCTTTTTTCTGAACCAGTACAGCCTTAGTATCACTGTATAATTGCAACAGCCACATCAGAACAAGCCCACCACCTCTCTATTCTTCTATCTCATTTCCAACTGGGATTATCTCCAAGCACTCAGAAAAACACAGAAGGAAGCTTTTCATTAAGCCACTGTGGAAAAATCAGTCCACATGGAAAATTTCCTCTTGTCTCCTTTGAACTAAGGACTAGCTTAAGCTCTGAGCTCTATTTTATGCATTGGTTGTTGAATTTGCTTCAGGTATCAAGCCATGCTAACAAGGAGAAAACTCTTGAACTAGGAAGAAGCTGGGTGTTTGTAACATAGCACACAAAGGGACTGCTACTTCTTCTCCAACCTAGAAATTACTCTCTTGTTTGCTGACCCTCATGTGATCTCCTGTCACAGATGGAGGGAGCTTGGAGCTTAGCCCACCACCCAAATCTCACAAATTCTGTGCTGCTGAGCTTCCAATTAGCCTGGCCTCACAGGGCCACTGACCTGCAAATTCTGGTTCCCAGAACCCAGGAAGTTGTTGGGACATTGTGCCAAGGCTCACCAGCCACACAAAGACTTCTGTTCAACAGGAGGGTGAAGCCCTAGCTCAGGATCACTTGAGCACCCCCTGCTGCACCTCCTTGAGACCAGAAGACTGAACCTGAGTCATACAGTTCAAGTGGTGGGCACATCATTACAGTGCTACCAAATCAGAAGCTGATTGATGTCCCTGTACCTGTGTGTGATCCACTACCACTGGAACTAACACGAGATGGAAGTACAAGGAACACTTGCCACTATGGGATTTTTATTGTTATTCCACAACCTTGGAAAGCAGAAATCCTTTTAACAAGAGCTAAGGCTGAACTGATGGCTGAATGCTTATACACAGCTTCAGCCTCAGCTCTGTTACTGATCTGCTGTGGGGCTTTGGGTAAGACACTTAACTTTAAGTTCTTAGCAATCCCCTGCCCCTGTTGCATATCAGTGAAATAATGAGGGAAGTAAAACGTCTCCCTGTTGCACACTGCATTTTTAAGATTAATTTAAGACTGCAAATGAAGACAGCAGTGGGAAAGCTTTATATTAAAATACCCTCAGATGTATTAGTATAGTTTAATATTCTTGGGCATTTATAGGCTCCATCATTACCATTCAGAGGTAATCAAATGTCTCACAAGCTTATTTCCACAAGCCCAAGAACAGGGTATGTGCACTTCTCATCTGAGTGCAGAAGCTGAACTACCTACCAAGATGTCAGAGCAGATCAGGCAACCAGTGCTGACTGTCTTAAACTAATGCTACAACCAGAAAGACACCTTTCATTTCCAGCAGCTCCTCCCCAAAATCAGCCCTAGGAGAAGGACAGCACTCTTCTAGCTTCTTGGATCTGATGTTTCTGGTCAGGAACAAGGGCTGTGAAATATGTTCTCCAAATAGGTCTGGAAGGTTAGTTCTAGCTGAAGAGGAAAAGTCACTGCTTTTATCTAATAAGATTTCCTGCTACTGAAGTCTTGATAAGCAGCCTGACCATGAACTGCTGTCTTGCTGCAATGGCAGATCTTTGGAGGTAACAAGCCTTCAGACTGCTCCTGTCCTGGTGATTTATCCCCTGCAGGTGTATATATGCTGCATGAATCTACATATATGTAGGGTTATGTATACTTTGCATAACTCCAGCAACAGCTATACTGGTCAAACCCATTATCTGTCTAACCCAACATACTGAGTCCTTGCAATGGATATGTAGGAAAGTACAAACCCCAACTCTGCACAGACAGACCCTGCCCTCCTGCTCTGCAAGGCAGTGGTTTTCCTGTATTTGTAGAATAGTTACAGCCAGAAGCCCAGCAGTTTTCTTCCACTCTTAATAAGTGAGGGCACACTCTGGTCCTACATGTTTGACCAACTGCAATGCAGAGCGATGGAAATGCAGATGGATGCTCTTGTGGTCCTGCCAGGCAGGCCAGGCCTGCAGTGGCTGGAAGTGTGCCCTACACATGTTAAATGAAAAATGTAACACCAAAGCCTGGCATCCCTGGAGCCAGGGGAGAGGATAAACAAAGAAGAGGAGAGCAAATGGGATCAGCAGGGCAGAGTGCAGCCCACAGAAGGTGCAATCCAAGCCTGCTTGAAGCAATAGGAGAAGGTTTTAGATCCCACATCCTGCACTGAACAGTGGGGATGGAGCATCTCCTGAAAGGAATGGGGTTAATTTTCCATGCTGCTCAATTCCTGCTACCTACAGCAATGCCAATCAGCATCGGGTGGTCTTGTGCTTTGGACAGCCA